AAAAAGGGGCGGGGGGAATAAAAAGCTCTTTTAATTACAACAGATAAATAAATAAGTGGTGCCAACTAGCAGGCGATCAAACCTCTGTCAAACTTCAATCTCAGAGCAGTTAGCTATAAACTGTTAGCAATTGAAAAGTAAACCTTGTGCACACAAAGGCACTGTTTAATTTTCTTCTTGTAATGGTTCTAAATGGAGCCCCCATCACTATGCAGTTAGGCGGTATTTCTGGCCGCCCTGAGGGGCTGATCACTTGTAGTGGTTCTAAATGGGGCCCCCACCACTATGCAGTTAGGCGGTATTTCTGGCCGCCCTGAGGGGCTGATCAGTTCTTTCTAATGTGAGAAAACTGGCAGCTCAAAAACCGTCAACGGAGCTCCCACAACAAAAGTTCTGAAAAGCTGAATGAATTGGGTTTGTAATTACTGCTTCCCGCACCCCTCCCTTGCAGCTTATCTCTTATTCATTCAATTTATATTATTGTCAACGAATCTTACTCTCAAAATCATTACCTTACTATTTTACCTCGGGCCACAGAGGAACTTATGACACGGCAGAAATGGAATACGCTACCCTCCCCCACCCCCCACCCCCGCACCTCCAAGTGTTCAAACCAGTAGGTGGAGGAGGACAGACTACCTTGTACCCCCATTTACTCTGAGACTACCAGAATGCTCAGAGCACTCAGCCTACAATACGAGTCTTTCGTTTTAAAATCTGAGTTTTACTGGCAAACAGGATCCCGTATCCTCTCTAAACTCAGAGCCTGCTTGAGTCTCTGAAATCCAGTGACATCTCCACTTAGAAAAGGCAAAGGTTATAAATAAATACCCTCCCTTCTCTTCCCAAATTGAAAGGCCCCAAAAGGCCTTTCCAGACATGATGTGCAAATTAAGATAAATTATTACGTTCTTTTTTTCTCCCTTTTAAACCAAAACCCATCAATGAAACAGAAAAAGAGACTATAATTTTCCTCAGCCCAGGAAAAGGTTTTATGAAACAGTCAGCTTTAGAATGGCAGGGCTCCGTGTGTATTTCAATCTAAGGCGTTGCTGATGGAGAAGATTCTCCTGAGATTTTCTACTGTAACAATGTCTCAGTTCTAGAAATAAGTACAGCTATTACAACCAAATCTACTAGCAGTCTAAATAATTAATTGAAGTGTTGCTCTTTGACCCTTGAAAAGTCCAGTAGGGACACGTTTATAGTAATAATACCTCCGAATGAGCCCTTGTCAAATATTCATTTAGTGGTTAATGTGAGCCATTTTCCCCGGGGACCGTTTGTAATACCAGCTTCCCAGCACTGGCAAGAAACCTCACTGTAATCTACCCCTCCAGCTCAGCAAAATATTTGAACGCTCCAAACATAAAGTATGGAGGAGGGGCACGTGGGGAAAGAAAATATTGCAGTGCGAACAAACAGTAATCTCATCCTTCTGCACATTTCTACTCTGCGTGTAAGGTTAATGAAACATTTAAATTGACCCCCTTTGACTGGAAATTGAGTGGTTTTAATGAGCAGAATAATACCCCGAGGAAGGAGCAGAACAGGCAGTGAGTAGCTTCAGCACTGAAGGAGAACCATCTTTGGGCAAGTTTGTGGGTTTACCCCCACCCCTTCTGTGAAAATCACATTATTATAATTAAAATATTATATGTCCAATATTAATCTGGCCACAACACTACACATCTCAGGGAAGCATTTAACCCAATTAAATTAATGATGCCATGAGATATGCATCATTCTTCTCAGAGGTAATTTATCAAAAAGAATTTATATTGGCAAACAAAATATCGACTTCCATTTTTAAAAGTATTTGATTTGTAGGTATGGAGGAACAGGAGAGGAAAGGCGATTTTTTTTTTTTTTTGGATAAAAAGAGAGTTTTGTGCAAATAGTGACAAGCATTCCAAACTAGTTCAACTTTCCAAAATACTGTTCTCTTCCCTCTTGAAAAAATTTTGAACCTGAGCATTTTACCAAAAAGTTGTTTTTTAGTTAGTCTGATCTTACAGGCTCTTTTAAAAAAAGGGGGGGGGGGGGGGGAGTATAGGCCAGTGCAATTACTCCAAATCCCTATACATATTTCTAACATAACTCTATTTTTCAAATATATACACTCTATATAGTTGATTGGCTCAAGGTCTGGGAATCTGCCCCCCAACCCCCAGCCAGATCATTTGGATCTTTATTCAAAGTTTCTTTTATTCGTATGTGTGAGCAAGAACTGTCGAATGTGCTCATTACCACGTGAATAATCCGTATCTGCATGACAATGGCTGGTCAGGCTGGGGGAAATTCTTTCAGAGTCCCTGCATTAATTGGGGGGGGGGGGGAATGCCTTGCTGAGAATTGGGAACTGGAATAATAATTGTCCTTTCCCAGTACAATATTACCCTAAAACTGAGAGGGGGAAAAAAGGAATAAATACAAACCGATACATATCTAAAATAAAACCATCAGAAATAAAAATACTGAAACCACGCCGTCTGCCCTGTCATCAGACCTTTCTTCTGGACTCCAGAAAAATGAGAGACCCGCAGCTCAGTCCAGAGCTACCATTAGCAACACCAGGGTGGGCCGAGAAATACTTCCTTGGAGACGAGAAGAAGCAAACTAACTTAGTGGCGGCAGCGGCTACTTGACTCCAAGGCGGACGGCGCTGCCGGATTCCAGCTTCTTCAAAGTTGCAGCAAGTTGACACAACAAGCTCTTGAAATTGGGGGAAGCAAACGCTCCCTTTTAAGAATGCCTGACTCTTCGTTCCTGGACCCCTTGGGTGGGAGAAGATGAGCGAGGCAAGCAGTCAAGTGGGAAGAAAAGACCCGGACTCGGGCTTACAGAGTTTCCGGCTGCGCCACAGCGCGGGTCGGTAGTGATGCAGAAGCAACGCTAATTCAAAGACCCGGGCGACTCCCCAACTTTTCCGCTCCCACTGAGGACAGCTCTCGCCTCCCTTTACCTTTCCTCGGGCAAAAGAAAACAACAAATCCGATCTTGTTTCCCCACCCCCATCCCATCCCCCCACTTCTCTACTACGGTAGTAAAACACTGTGAACAGATCAAAAGCATAATCATCTCCAAATGTGATTAGACCGGACAACGTAAAATATCTACCTGAGTTGATTGCTTTCTTCTTTAACATGGTTGCTGCCTGGCTTCTCTTTTGCTTGTTATCAGCTGCAGATATTATCCGATTTGGGGCTACAGGCTTGGACCCGCGCTGCCAATTTAAGAAATAAAATTCGAGAAGGGAGGGAGAGAGAGGAGAAAAAGAAAATAAATAATAATCATAATTAAAAAAAATAGCCGTGGTAAGTCGGGGAGTTTTGCAAGACGCTCTTAGCTTTCCCTGGCCCCTAAACCGGAAAACGTAGAGGAGAAAGTTTATGAAGACAAGGAACAAAGACCGCAAACCACTTGTTTCCTCTCGGACAATAGCAGGGCCGGAGTAATCCAAACCCCCACACGCCGGATGAACACTTTGCATGTCTAGTTTGCAATTATTCCGATACAAGAAGCATCATCTTCCCTTATACCCAGGACTCCAAAGGGCCATTGTGCTGTGAAGAAAACGAAAACAAAACCAGCCAACCTGGTTCTGATTTGGCTCAACACCCCATCTCTGCTAAGCTACACGAAACATTTCAGAATCGACTCCTTCTTTCTGGCAACAAGTGGCATAAATCAGTTTAAGTACAAGTCCCCATCATGCTTATTCATGCTGCTTAGAAAAGGAGGGGGTGGATTTTCAATATATGTCTCTAGTTCCTATTTTTGAAACGACGTAAGTATTTCCATGTTTCTAGAGTACGTATTCAATTAATCATCCAGCCATTTATTTGTTGCAATTAACATTAACACAGGCTGCTGTGCGAGAAATACCAAGGCTTTCGGTACTTCGCTTTCTTGGCTGGGCACAGCATTATAATTCCCCGAGGAGTTATGGAGAATATCACAGTGGCATCCAAGTAAATGAAAGACTCAAGCATAATTTCAGTGTCCATATTTCAAAAATTTATTTATCTCAAACTGTGCATAATGGAGTAAAAACTGAAGGTGGAAATGTACCTGTTATAAGGATGGTATTAGTTCAAATATATACACAGATTCTCGGCAGACTGATTCAAATAATACAGAGCCGAATCTTTTAAAATACAACTACGGAAAATAAAGGAGAAAAACCTTAAAATATCACAAGAAATTTACAGAAATATTACAAATCATAAGAAAATATTTCAAACACAGTAATTTCATGTTGTTGTTTTTTTTATCCGAACAAAATGGAAAGTTGAGAAACAAAAGCTATTATAAATTACCAACGATGTCAACCTGCATGGCCATTTTTGCTTTTAACAGTAAGTTAAAAAATTTAGTACAATCTAAAACTTTTGCCCTTTGAGAGAAGCCCACCGAGATGGTTTTGCCAGCACTTAAATTCCTTTTTTTTTTTCTTTTGTACAATTTTAAAACAATTAAAATGTCCAAATCTGAGTAATTTTCTTCTTTCCACGTTTGCAACTGTCCTAAATTTCAGCTGCAGAATCAAAACTCAGCAAGAAGCCTCTCCTTGAAAAATATTGGCAAATTCTCAGCTTATAAACAATGGACATTTTGATTGCCATGTTTACTTCGATAAATACTGTACAAAAGTTGCTTGCAAATATTAAAACATTTTTTCGTCGCTTGGAGACTAGCTCTAAATATTATTGGTAAAGACTTTTGCAAACTTTCTGCAAAGTTCCTACCGTACCACTAGAACTTTTAAAAAGTTTTGCAGTAGTTCTCTCTCCTTCAGATCTATACAAGGTCCATTCCCCCGCCCTCCCCACCCACCCCGGTTTTCTCTGTACAAAAATAAGTCCCCGAAAAAGAAGTCCAGGATCTCTCATAAAAGTTTTCTCGTCAGCATCGCGGTTTTTGCGTGAGTGTGGATGGGATCGGTGTTCTCTTTTGCAGCTGTCACTTGCTGCGGGTGATGGGATTTCTGCTGTCGCGGAGCGGCTCGGGTTTTTCTCCGTGCCGTGTCTTACTCTCTCCTCCTCTGCGCCCCCTCCCATTTCCCTCGTTTTTCCTCGGAAAATGTCTGCCCCCTCCGGTTCGCCGGCCAGCCCTCACATGTGCGAGAGAGGCAGTGTGCCGTTAATGGCCGTGCCCGGCACCGGGCCGCTCTGGTAGTGCTGGGACACGTGCAGTCTGCTGGGGGCGGCGGGCTCGGGCACCTCGGCGCCGGGCAGGTACATGCTGATCATGTCCCGGAGGTCCCCGGCCTGGCAGGGCGCCCTGGAATGGGAGGAAGAGGTAACCACGGGGGGGCTGGAGCTGGCCTCGGACTTGACCACCGAGCCCATGGAGCCCAGGGCCATGCCGGGGGTGGCCTGCTGCGAGTAGGACATGCTGTAGGTGGGCGAACCGTTCATGTAGGTCTGCGAGCTGGTCATGGAGTTGTACTGCAGGGCGCTGACGTCGTAGCGGTGCATGGGCTGCATCTGCGCCGCGCCGTGCGCGTTGAGGCCCGGGTGCTGCGGGTAGCCCAGCTGCTCCTGCATCACGCTGTAGCTGCCGTTGCTCCAGCCGTTCATGTGCGCGTAGCTGTCCATGCGCTGGTTGACGCCCGCGCCCAGGCCGGCGCCCACCCCGACGCCGCTGGCCATGCTGTTGGCGCCCGGCGCCAGCAGCCCGCCGGGCAGCGTGTACTTATCCTTCTTCATCAGCGTCTTGGTTTTCCGCCGCGGCCGGTATTTATAATCCGGGTGCTCCTTCATGTGCAGCGCGCGCAGCCGCTTGGCCTCGTCGATGAACGGCCGCTTCTCCGTCTCCGACAAAAGTTTCCACTCCGCGCCCAGGCGCTTGCTGATCTCCGAGTTGTGCATCTTGGGGTTCTCCTGGGCCATCTTGCGCCGCTGCCCGCGCGACCACACCATGAAGGCGTTCATGGGCCGCTTGACCCGGTCC